AAGCTGAATTAGGTCACCAAGATGGTAATTTTTACTTATTGAATTAGCGCGTATCCTTCGACCACATTACCACTTAACTTCAGGTTGTAAGCGCTAAATTAAACATTATAAAAATGATTTTGACATCGTATACATGTGTCTTTAATTAATAATTTTGCATTAAGTGTAGGTAGAGTCTTCACTTAAGAGACACCAATCTAAAAATGTTATAAATAAGTTTGTTAAACATTTACAGCCTTACAAATAAACGCGGTATAAAATTAAACTTAGGATAAGCAAAGTATAAGCAAAATTTGTACTTACATTTGTTTATACTTAGTTTATTCCTAAGTGAAACGTTATATCGCGTTTATTTGGACTGTTTGAATAAATTAAGATAGGTAAATTAGTGACGTAACTAAATTGGTGCAGTTTTTATTATGTTATTCCGATCCTGTATGTAATTGGTATCATGCGTTGTGTGCAGTAAGTATTAATTGTGTTGGTTGAAACTGATACATTTGCCGCAAACAGCGACCTGCGACAGACAGACAGCGCGCTGCGGACAATGTAGATACTGTGTAAATAAGGTTCGCTTGTCTGTTACAATATTGGAAAAGCTAAAAACATTAATTGAAACATTGCGAACGCATACTTAATACATTTTTAAATATGGCGTTGGAAATGTAATTGAATAATAAAGATATAGCTATTAGAGTACCTTCAAGTGTGTTTATATATGATGAAAAAAATGAAGTGAAATAAATCTTCTAAGTTGTGGGCTAAGCAAAAAACAAATTAGGAGTTGCAATAAAACTCCTACTTCATTAGATTATGTGGGATCTTCATATTCCATTTATATTTATACTTATGTTGATTTTCATTTGTCAAAATACGTAAAATAGTTGTAAGAGGCAGAGCGATTGCATCAGTGAACTCGAATAGACGTTAAGACCTCTCCACACTAATTAAATCGCACTCAATAATTGGTAGCGGCGTGGCGGTGTGGGGCTGCCTCGAGAGGTTGAACTGCTCTGTTCCCGGCTGTCGAGGGTTGTGTGGTACTGAGGGTAGTGAGGCCTGAACTGATCAAGTGCAGCGGATTGAGGTTGAATAGTTCATAATTCATAAATATAATAAATCCATTGAAACACAGAGCATTGTGTTTGTTATGTAGCGACTTGTTTTGAAGAACAAATACATCATGTTTTTGTTTGTAAATGAACACATCGACAATAAATATAAAGGAACAATGCTTTCTTTCCATCATAACTAATTTAGTTTTAAAAAATGTTTGTTCTTAAATACACAGAATTTGTTTAGTAGTTATGTGAATGTTATATTTATGTACTAGCTATGACCGACAACGTCAACTTGGATAAAAAAACAATAGTGAGTAGCTTATGGATTCTTCCAGTCTATGTGCTACATCTTTGCCAAATTTTATTGATTTCTGTTCAGCAGTTTAGGCTACAAACTTTAACAAACATCTATCCATCTAAACTTTCGCATTTATAATATTAGTAAGAAGTACGTGATCCCACTTGTCAAATGTTCCCGCCCACTCACATGGCTTGTGGTCGGGTTGGGGGTATATTTTCACATATGCGACAAAATATCGCAGGTTCGTTATTTTTTCGCTCTATTTCACATTTATAACGAGCGTCTCGTACGTGTATATTGTTTTTGAATTACTACGAACTGTTCTCTTATTATAATTGTTTTGTCGAAATCAAGCAGCAGTGCAGATAGCTTTATTTTTTTGCAAACAAGTTTTTATTGAAGAGCTACAGTTTTGTTTTAAAATACTATAAAGTAAGAGAAAACAATTTTAATATTTATTCATAACTGTATATATTTAACAATAGAATAGTGAGTTTGCTTTTAGTAATAATTCAAATAGTTAAAAGCGCCATCTATTGTAAACTAGTAGATGGTTTTACTTCCAGAGCTCAAACTAATTCTTGGGCCTACACGGAAAATCTTCCATAGATGTCGCTAGCCGTATCCAAAATCATCTTTGTTTAATTGTTTCTAACCAAGCGACCACTGGTCACTGGCTCGGTTCATAATTGCAATATCCACAAATAAACTATTAAGAACGACATGTAAAGAGTAATGTAGGATTTAAAATGCAGACCAGTATGCTTTTATTAGTAAAATAATGCGACGTATAATTTTGATATTATTGTATAATCTTGTTAGTTCTCTTATTAGATAAAGAAGATATAGGTTCGAATATTAATTTCGTTTTCTACATTTATTTAGCTTCATCCGCATGAAATTATGAGAATTTTATTTTATTGATTACATTTGTCAAATTCAATTGCAAATGTCAAAATGACATGACATGACAAACCCTAGCAATCTTGCTTTCTTGATGTTGACAGCAACTTATGGTCTCTTTCCCACATTAGGGTTTTTATCCAAAATATTTCCCCCAAAGTTTAACGGCGTGAAAATATGTAGCTTAAAGCATGACTTAAGTGTAGGGCTTTTTACTAAAAAAAATCGTAAATATGCTGTGATTGCTGACATCTTAGGCAACAAAGAAGTGTGTGTTTACGCTTTATTATAATAGTATAGATAGTTATCAATAAAACCAGTACATTACAACCCGTGCAATATAACTTGATACCTTCAGTCAATCTCGTCATAGTTGTTACGTCGTAGAAAAGATTTCAGATTGGATGAGTTTACCTTTTGGTTATAGACTTCAGTAGTAAATAACTAATTTTATAATTGGGAAAATCCGTACTCCAAATATGGAGTATACTTTAGAGATAGAAATGTTTATTTTTTAAATACGGAAGAATGAAGTAGTTAACCAGAATTCTTAATTAATTGTTCAAAAACATGCAGGCTGTGGTATGTGTCAGGTGCGTGTGACAGAGCACGCGCCACAGTCTGTCTCGCTCCTCCACAGCTGACGCGTGACGTCACAACAGGTGGCACGCGACCGTTAGGACATCGGCATGCAGACTGTTTTAGTTCCTACGTATATTTTTATCTACTGCATGTTTTACGTTTACAATGTATCGTACGACTTTAGCATGTGGCTGACAGATGGGATTAGAAGAGGGGTCAAGTTTTTATCTATTCAATTTTTTTAGTAATTATTAGATAGTCAGGTGCTTTTGGACTTTTTATACAGATGGCACAGTAATTGAGATAATAATTAGCTAATACTTTTTTATAATGTACCCAAAACTCAACGAGATATTATATAATTGTATTTAATTTTTAGACATTTAGTTTGAGCCAAATTTTCCATGAAGACCTCTTAATTTAAAACAGGTAGACAGCGCACTGCGGGGCGGTTCTTACAAAATTTTCCTCTTTTACGAATTCCTGGAATTCCTTTACTTTACGAAGCTCGTCTGTGTATGTGAATGTGAGGAATTATGAGAATTTAACATTTTAAAATACAGTGACATGATAGAAACAAGCGGTAACATTACATAACAACCGACAAGGAATGCGTAGGCCTACAAAGCGCCCTCTGGTGAAATGTTTTCGCACCTCGTGTCATCCAATCCGCTCAATCTGTCCGAAGTTGACATTTCTTATTGACACTTTCATTACGCGACAAAACAATAACGTTACAATACAAACACCTTCTTACACATTTCTAGACACTTATTCCTTTGGACCAGAGTCTAAAATACCTTGGCACAGTACAAATTGTTGCAAGATCAACTTTAGGTGGTAAGAAAATTAATAAAAGAGCGCCGGCCGTCAAGTTGGCGAATAGAAAATTGATGAATGATGTTCAGTGATTTGTTGTAAAGGTCAAATTGCCCTTCAAAGTTGTGAACACGTCACCACACTGCGACACCTTAACAAAAGCCAAGACCTACAAAAAATACATAAAGAAAGATATATTATATTAGTTACAGTGTAATCAATTTCAAATTTAAGACTTTATTTGTTTTTTGAATTTGCTTCATTCACCTTTATTACTTTTACAGTTTATTTGATATTTATGACATACGAGGTGTTCCCGTGCGGCTTCATCCGCATGAGATTATAAAAACTTCACTTTATTGTTTACATTTGTGAAACTTTCAGTTGTAAATGTCAAAATTCAAATGCACAGATGGCAACGAAGACCATTGACATTAGATAACGTTTCCGTTACCATGGCAACCTTGCTTTCTTGATGTTGTCAGCTTGTAGTTTTTGTCCCTTTCCCGCATGACAGTTTTTTCCATATCATTTATTCCCTAAGTTCAATACGGTGAAAATATATAGCCTAAAGCGTGTCGCAAGTGTAGAGCTTTTTATTAAAAAAAGAATTATCCAAAAATATGCTGTGATTGCTGACATCCTACATAACTAAGTATTGTGTTTTTACGCTTTGTTATATTGGTAGAGTATAGACATAGACAGTATTTTAACACAGTAACAGACGCACACGTATTTCCCGCCACAATCTTTTCACCTCAGTCTCCAGCAGCAGCGCGTTTCCGCAGTATTGAGTAACTAAATTACATTTGCAGTTTTATGTTACCTTCCATTTTTTAAAATGACTGACGGCCACGTTAATGTTGTGTCATATATCTGTGTAATCCTTTACAGCAAGGTTAAGCTAATGGGAATTAACAGTTACCAGGACATGACTAGCAGAAAGTTGTAGATGTTCATCAGAGTAGATTGTTCAAGTTTTTGAACGATGTCGTTAGCCTGTGTCATATCGCTCCACAAGAAAATGTAATCAAAATTTTCTTGCAGACGAGAAGAAAACGTTGAAGAGTCGAAATGCAGTGAGAAAATTGTCAGAAAAAGCTTAAAGAAAGCTGAATATAGGGCATGGCACTTCACGCCGCTTGTCTTTACCGAATTCTGGTGACCTGAAGAGCGCGGCTCGGGGAGGTTCGGGCGGCTCGGGGATGCTTGGGGAGGCTCGGTACGGCTCGGGGCGGCTCGGGGCGGCTCGGGCGCGCCGGCGGACAGGGGGATGGATGGATAGGGCATCAGCGGAGCCCCCAGCCCGTTCAGTCCGGCCCAGTGCCGGTAAAGTCGCCGTCTGGTGCGGACGTGTGCCGCTCGTAGCGAACCGCTCGCACATCGCGATACGAAACTATCGAACGACGCAAGGTATCTTTATGGCGGGAAGTTTGTGAATATCGTGTGAATTCTGTTATATTTTGGTGTTGTGCTAATTACGGGACGCATCTGACCGCGGCGGAGGCGGAAAGTTCGGAACGTCTCTCCAGTGTAAGCTATTTATAATGATTTCTCACACTTACTGCTCGCTTTTAGTTTATCGGTGAAATAATATTTCTGGGTGTAGCTGATTATATTATTAGCAGCTCTGTTTAGTCAGTTTTAGTCATTCTTATGATATTTAAAACTTTTTTAATATTTCCGCGAAATATACAGAAAACTTGCGTTCTTGTTGTGAGAGTTATATTTGCGTTATGTTAAACAGACGATTCAGATGTTTTATTCGCTGTATATTTTTATAATTTTGCTTTAACGACAGCGCGTGTTTATGTGGTTGTCGGTCCGTTGCTAACCATGACACAATTTCAATGTAATTTCGGCTGATTTTTGGGAACATTTCGGTCGTTGTATAATTCTCTGAGAATAGAAAACCGCGTCATCTACCAGATGGATGGTGACGAAGAACGTTGTCAAATTATCTTGTTCAACAATTAAATCGAGAATATTTCCCACCGAGCATTCGTCAAAGTTAGATAGTATGAGTTGGTCTTATATTATTCTTTGTATTAGATTAATTTAATTACTTGTAAAATATAGATCTTATCCTCTCTATTTCTCCCCCAGAACGACTCATATTTAAATTAACATGTTTCACGTTGTGTTGAACTGTAATAAATAATTAAAAGGAATAATGTTTAAATATATTTTTTTTCTGTTTTTTTAAATAACAATTGTAATGCTATATAGCTATTAATTTTCTTTAAAAATTGTAATCAACACATTTATTTAACTACTAACTTTAGTATTATTTCTTTCGTATAAGAAAAATTATAAAGATGAAGACGTTATGTGAAAAAGATTGTTTACTTAGCAACGAACGTTGCGAATAAGTCTCTACTATTACACATTAAATTTAAATAACACAAAATGCAGTTTCATTGATGACTTGATGCTTTTTATTTTTAAAAATCTAAAACTAAACTGATAATTTTAGTTAAAGTTGTAAAAGTAACTACTACAATAATTACTACAATAATAACGACATACTACAGCTCATGTCTACTTCAATATAATTTAAAATGCATGATATTTTATATTGAATGAAATACATTGAAGGTACGGTCGTTAGTCACAAACCGCCCACAGATCGGCCTTGTTCTGAGTCTTCCTGTATTAGGTCGTTTTGTGCACCGAGTACCACTGTTTATTACAGCAGAGTTAGGCACTCCCACAGCACTAGGGTGGATAGAGTTAGGCACTCCGCCAGACCTAGGTCCGGTTTTCCTCAACCATTCATTGTTCTCTATAAACAAACACATCCGTTCGAGATAAATTGTTTAATGATATCTTAAAATTAGCGCAGACCTTGCGCCATTGCCCGAGAAAACTTGCTTACGTGATTCAGTATTAGCTCAGGAAATATTATACGGTATTTTATAATTCCAAAAACATTGCTTAAATAAATATGGGAATAGACATCAAAGCGAAAACTTAAAATTATGAACTTTGATAACACCTTGAAGAATAAATTGACGTAAACAAAGTTGTAAATAAATTTAGCAATAACACAGAATTTAATCAGTTCTATTAGATCTTCAAAGGGTTGTTTCAGAGGAAAAAGTTTAATGTACTTAAGTTGTGAATAAGTTAATACTTCAGCCGCGTCGCTTGAAAGTTTGCTGCGAACTGACGTGCGCGCTGAATTCGCGGTTAACAACGGGACATGAAGATTTATTAAGATTTTTGTTACATGCTGTTGTTAATAATATGTCCAAGGTTCGGAATATAACAGACAAACACTCAGTTGAGCGACACTTGTACTTTAAACCACAAGTCAAATAATGATTTAGACTTTATGGTAATTTATATTTATAAGAATTGAATATAAATTGAAGTAAGGAATTGTTAAATGTACTTAAACAGCATACCTGGCTGTGAGGCGTTTGTTATAAGTTTGCGTCACATCGGAGACAAAGATGGGAGTTCACAACAAGTCCTCAACACGACTTATACAAACTTCGACGATCTTCCGACGGCATTTCCAAATAATTAGTGCATCATAGTTAATATAAGTTCTGTTTACTTTACACAAACATTTATTTTTGAAATACTTTTAGTAAAAGCGTATACTTCATATAATAATTATTGTTTCCCTTGTTGACAAATAGAAATCACGTCTCAAAATAAATTTCCTATGTTTATAAAGGAAAGATTATATTATTCATAAGGCTGTCTGCACACGGACAATGCGGCGTGGCGCGTCTGCCGGCAAATGGAAGTGTCAGTCACACGACCGCGCGTAATGAGCTCGTGTGTGAGCGCCCTTACGTCGTAATTAGTACGATCGTGTGATTGCAATCGCGCGGCGGAATGAAGACAGCCACGTTGTAGTATTGCTGTGGTTTGTGTAGTCAGTGTGAGGTGAAGGTCTGGACGAACGTTTATAAGAACTTGTTGTTAAGCAGATTAGATAATGCTTTAACATGCTTGAACGAGCTTCAAATGTTTCGAAATACATATTTTATTTTATAATATAAGGTGGCAAAGGAGTAAGCAGCCATCTGAATCCACCCAAATGGAAAGCGACCGCTGCCCATAAACTTTCGCAATTGCAGATGCGTTGCTTACCCTTCATTGACGGAGGAGATGCACATAAAGAGGACATTACCCATTCTTATGCTCCTCCACCGTCAAATCCATTTTTCCTTCCCATCCTTTCTTCTTAAGAAAAGGGTGGAAAGTGAAAAGGACTAAAATAAAGCCTCCACCACACTCATCAGATGAAACGCGGATTTTCTCCTACTTCACGCCTGTTTTCTGTGTGGTCGTGGTATTACTGGGGGCGAGCTGCCCTGCAGTGCGATGTTAAAGTGACCTCTAACAGGTTCTGTAGATATTTAATTAAGTTGTGGTTTTGCGTTGTATTTGTTTAATGGTACGATGAGTAGTTTAAAAGTTTCGTGTACTGTATTTTTAAGGCAATAATTTTTTTAGTAAGAATATTACCTCAGCGTCAGGTTAGTCTTCATGAAAAATGTGTGAAACAAGCAGTTTTCTTTTTTTTTTTTTTTTTTTTTTTTTTT